ATATATCGTTCTCCTTATCAGTTTCATCAATATTAACATCATTCAATCTCTCACTATCGAATATTAAATCATCCTCCGTTCCATCCTCTCTGACTGAAATCACACAACATTTAAATGCGCCTCTAATAAGTTCACCATCGATTTTATCCCACGCCTTTTTCGCCCTGTAAAAGCTTGAGAAGATGTGGCGATGCTTCTATTAACAAATCTCTCTTGGATTTCCAATCACACACCTGCTTCCTTTGAATGTTAAATTTTTCCGCAGTCTTCTTTACAGAATGGCCATGCTCATGGTAACAAACAACCATTAGTTTTTCTTGAGCACACCATGAGCGACGCTGCTTAGATGTAATACGCGCTTTACGAACAGTTTTCCCCATATTAACAAGCAAAGTTGCAAAATTTTTATTATGAGCATGCAGATTCCTTTTTAAAGTATGTACAACAGAGCGTGCCAATAACAATAGACTATTATTACTGTAAACAAACGAATTTATCTAAAATTCGATCATAGCTCGTATGGCCTGATTCTTAATTATGTGTCTACGCCTAAAACATATACACCCCCCCTGACAAAAGTATAAGTACGAGACGAAATTTTACTAGTAAAACATATAAAAACTCTTTATTTTCGAAAATCTCTATCGTCCATACGTACTATGTAACCCACAATAATTTTGGTACTGTTTTGAAGCCAATTGATTGTATTTTTCGGAAAAAATTTTATCATATACTCAGTCCTGTTGTCATTTCAACGCTGTAGTTCGAGGAAGTGGCGAAATTATGTTACACGTATGAAATCATACGTGTAACATAGTGCCGTCACTTTATCAAGCTATTTCTTCATTACAGTAACTAATTTAAATTTCAACCATTTTTTTCGAAAAAAACAGTCAATTAGCTTCAAAATGGTACCAAAATCATTGTGGGTTACATAGTACGTATGGACGACAGAGATTTTCGAAAATAAAGAGGTTTCATATGTTTTACTAGTAAAATTTCGTCTCGTACTTATACTTTTGTCGGGGGTGTATATAGATAGACTGTCATAGTTACACTTTCTGGACTAAAGTATCCGTGGGAGTTTTTTCAATCCATGCAACATCCAGTATAGCTATTATACAAACTTTTTATATCATTTTGTAGCTTAGCTTTTCGCAAATCTGCATGAGAATTTGAAGTATTTAGCTTTCTTGAATAATGAATTACTAAACAAAAGGCAATCGCGATTAAAATAAGAAATTAAACGTAAAATTTTAAACATCCACCTAAATAAATAAAATTGGCTTATTATTATAAACCAAATACAAACATGTGTTTTATCTTGCCACCTTTTTTGTATGTAAATAATTAAATAAAAAAAGCAAAGATTTTCGTGTTGTTTTGTTTTGTTTTGTTTTTATCGCGTTGTTTCCAAATTTTATTTTTAAGCACTTTTATTATCTTTTACAATGCCAAAAGGTTGAGAAAAAATTTTAGGTCTTAAAATAAGTGGAAGTAGCATTTCAAAAATATCTAAGGCATTTAAAATTACGCCATCCACTGTACAGGATACCATTGTTCGCTATATGAACTCTGATTTAAAAAGTGTTCGAAGAAGTGACAGACCCAAAGCCATAAATAATGAGAATAAAGAAGTATTAAAAGACATTATTTGCAGAGATAACAAGCATTCTGCAGATAAAATTTAATGAAAAAACTGGCAAAGAAGTTTGCACCAAAATCATCCGCAGAGGATTGCATGAACTTGGAATTTTTTCTCGAGTTGCTGCAGTAAAGCCACTTTTAATTGATAAACAAAGAGAAATCGGTTGAACTGGTGCTTACAAAGAAAAGATTGGAACATCAGAAAGTGGAAAAGCATTATCTGGAGTGATAAATCTTGCTTCAAATTTTTTGAAAATGATGGTATGGCAAAGAGCCGGGGAACGTCACAATATTGAAATATTGTACAGTGCCCTGACAAAAGTGAGTGATCACTATGAAATTTTGCAGATCAAACGTTAAAAGTTGTCCATATATGAAGTAAATATTTTACTAATACACTAGGCCATACTGTAATAAGTAAACGTATTTAAAATATCTATGTGCATGTATTTTGCAAGTTTCACTGGCTTTGTATAAATATTGAGCGAAAAACAATGGCTTACGTCGAAGATAAAGATTTTCGAAAATCTATGTTAAAAACGGTAATTATAATGCTATTTTCAGAAGTTAATTGCAATGTGTCCTTGCATTCTTAAGTAATTCACCTTATAAATATAAATTTCAGACGATTTGGTTTAGTAAATTATAAGGCAAATATCCAAATTTTATTAAATTGTCAAGTACAAAGTAGTACAAATTTTAGTATCGGATAACTGCAACTCAACCGGTTGCTTATATAAAAACTTTTAAACCCGTTTGTTAGTAAACAAACACGTACTAATAAAAGTTATTAACAACAACAATGCGCGTCTTGTGAAATATGACCGGATTCTAGCGAACCGCTAACGATATATAATTACAAAGACTCAAATTTTAGAAAATTTTACTTTTGGGATTAGTATTTAATGAAATCTAAACCAAATCGTCTGAAATTTATATTTATAAGTTTTGAATTACTTAAGAATGCAAGGACGCATTACAATTAACTTCTGGAAATAGCATTATAACTACCATTTTTAACATAGATTTTCGAAAATCTTTATCTTCGACGTAAGCCATTATTTTTCGCTCAATATTTATACAAAGCCAATAAATACATGCACATAGATATTGTGAATACGTTTACTTATTACATTATGGCCTAGTGTGTTAGTAAAATATTTACTTCATATATGAACAACTTTCAACGTTTGATCTGCAAAATTTCGTAGTGATCACTCACTTTTGTCAGGGCACTGTACCTTCAGAGTTAAACACGGCGGTGGTGGAATAATGGTATGGGGATGTTTTTCAAGAAGGGGCATGGATACATTAATACGAGTGGATAGAAAGATGAATCATCAGGATTATATTAGAATTTTAGATAAACATCTTTTGCCTTTAATTCAAAGTGCTTTAATAGAAAAGGTGCTTTTCAAGATGACAATGCTCCTGTGCATACAGCAAAAGGTGGATTAGGGGGGGAAATTTACCTCCATCTCAATCTCCTGACAATTGAACACCTTTGGAATGAGCTTGAAAAGGCGACCCAAAAAATGGCACGGAATTAGAGATTGCTTTGAAAGAGGAATGGTCACTAATTCCTCATCAAACATATTCCAATTTGATTAAGAGCATGCCAAGAAGGCTTGAGGCATGTATTTCTAATAATGGATGGCCAACTCAGTACTAAAGTAAAAGCTAAATGTTTAGAGCGAAAAATCGGCGAATTTGATTTCAATCGCAATTGCCTTTTGTTTGATAATTCATCGCATAAGAAAGCTAAACACTTCAAAATTCACATGCATATTCGCGAAAAGCTAAGCTACAAAATGATATAAAAACTTTGTATAATTATTATACTGGATTTGAAAAACTCCCATCGGATACTTTAGTCCAGGGAGTGTATGTCTGGACGTTGTGATATTCCCTCGGTATTTAGTCTACCCGATCTACTATAAAGTCCAGATGTAATATTCTTTTAATTCCTTCTTCGGGTTTAAAATTTCGTCTAAACAGCACCTGTGAGGTTCCACTCAAACATTAGCATTACCGCCACAGTCAGCCTCACACAAGCGCATTCATGCAGCGAGGTAGTACTAAAATTTGGCACTATTGTTTATACAAATAAAGTAATGATGTGAGTAAGGTTCACGTTCTCATATTAATACGATATCTTGGCGCAATCAGTTCTTCAGAACTTTTGTTCTTTGAGACCATTCCAATACTAAATAAAGTCCATGAATACTGCTCAAGAATACCCAACGTTATTATTTCCTCTCAACCTTCGTAAGCAACGGCAAAAGAAGGCACTGTCGAAACATTACGATGGCGGCGGCAAAAGAAGAAGAAAATGGGAAATGGCTCTCGCTCAATACTTCCCCTGCGAAGCTGCAATCCCACCGACAATCGAAGGGGGCGGACTGCAAGCCGATAAGTCCCCCCATACCTGTAAGGAGGAGGAGCGGATGGTTCGAGGGAAAGCGGAGAAGATACCGTTCCTCCCCGCCCCGCCGGAAGACGGAAAACAGATGCTTCTCTATCGGTTCATCTTCGAGAGATAATCGATATGAGAATGCATGAGGCGCGCACTATCAAGAGTAGACAAATGCCAGTTATGAACAAGGTCTACTAGTGCTGGAGGCGCCGGTCCCCCCCCCCCTCCCTCTTTCTCAGTCTTTCTGACAAGAAATACATGTCAGAGAAATAAAGGACATTTATGGTCTCTTCTTGGGGTTGGACAATGTTGGTGGTGGTGATGGAACTATGGACACTGGGTGGTGGGCTATACGGGCAAAGGTGGTGGTGGCAGTGGCTACGGACAATGGTGGTGGTGGGCAGCGGACAATGATGGTCGTTCCGCGGTGTTCTACACGTTAGAACACTGATATATATATATACGCACATAGTTATAGTTATAGTGATAGGTTTTTATTTTTTAAATGTCATTTCAATATAAATAAAGTATCATGTAACATATCAATATCGTAACTAAAGTATCTTAAACAGTTCGATATCATTATTATTATGATTACATGAGTTGTATGGGGGTAGTAATAAACTCTCCTGAAACGTTTTATTCCCACGATAGGAATGGGTCGCATAAAAGATGGGATGGAGAAATTCCTGTAATACTACATGCTTTCGAAATAATGGAAAAACGCATACATCGAGTTTACGGTAGACAGCCAAGTAAAAATATGTTGCTTGGTGAGATTGCGAATTACGTTAAAGCGCAGAGGTTACAATCATAATTGAACATTGTATTAGGCTTTATCAGGCTTCGCTTTACGATCCACGTTAAAGAAAGCGGTTAATACGTTTCAGAAGCATAAATTCTTCAAGATGAAATAATAGAAACGGTTTGTCAAACTGATTTTCAGTAAAAACACGCTCGCTTGTAGCAACAGACTGCATCGTAGTAAGAGTTCTTGTTTCAGTATCGGAACATCTAGAAGAAAACAAACGTGGGTGTGATACTAATATCCAGCGATACGAATCATCAAAAATCTTGCGAGGGCTCGGATAAGTTATTCCAGACACAGTGTTATCAAACCAGACGCATAGGAGATGGAAGCATAGCTTGAGATGTTGCAACAAACGAGGAGATCTAGCATTACGAATCATCGAGGAAAGACTCAGATGATGGGATAGGATACTCCAGGAAACTGTAAGTTATTTCAGACACAGTTATCATAACCAGACGTTAGGAGGCGGAGGCATAACCTCAAAATGTCAATTAGTAGGCAGCGCGCTTCTTCCGTGGATAAGCGCTGAATGAGTCTATTCGATCACTTGGAGCTTGCGAATCTACTTATTCTGAGCGTTATTATTACTTGAATTAAGCGATTGGAGGTAGAGGTTAGAGATCTATTACTTAACACGCACGCTACCACTAAGCTGTAAAATTTGTCACCGGAGAGGAACCAGATACGATACTGAAAGACATTCGAACAAACGCTGTATATATAGATGGGTGAGATACTTTACTCGGTAATGAGCGGTATGAATTGATATCGTCCTTTCCTCTCTGTTTCTTGCCACGGATATGACCCTCTTGTTGCGCGCTAAATTAAGATCCTTTCTTCTTATCAGGCTTCGCTTTGCGATCGGCGTTAGTGATACCGTAGAGGAACGGTTATTTCTCCTGAACATGAAGAAGTTATGAGTTCTTGTAACATCGGAACAGCCAGAAGGGAACAAACATGGATGTGAACGATGGATACTTTAGGAAACTGCAAGTAATTTATAAAACTATCATGAGAATGTAATTAGCATGAAAGTCTTGTGAATCTACTCATTCTGAGAATTGTAATTGGATATAGGCGATCGGAATGGAGATTAGAAGAATCAAGTACGCCACTCTAATGGATATCCTCCTCGGCCTTCATACCTCCTCTCCCTTCATATCCTCGGCTGCTGCTGTTGCTTCGACGTTGTCGTTTGTGGGGGAGGGTTCTGACGGTACGTAAGTACATTATATATGCTTGCCGCAGTAGTCCTCTTTAGAGATGAGTAACACTGCTTTGTTACTTCGATATAAAAATTTTTAATACATAATCTTATCATCATTTCCTCGTTATACTTGCTTGTATCAGTTTTTCGTTGCACACAAAATTGTATTATCTATTTTCCAAAATTTTCTGAGAAATATCCTCCTCTTCCCAATTAATAATGCAGACGCAAATTTCACTGTAAATGCTTTACATAGTAGTCATTCGTTGAATTTGTAATATTTTTACATAAAACAGTCGGTTTATTACAGGATAATCTTTGTTTCTCCCCCGGTTTATTCTTTGGTATGTTACGTATAAACCTTTTGATCAAACAGAAGTTTTCCTGTCATGCTCTAAAACGTTCGTGTCTTTTGGCTTTTGAGATTGTTTACAATGGAACAAAGATAAACGCTCATTTTTGGATGACGAATAAACGTTGTTGGGGTATAATCTGAGAGTAAAGTAAAACGTTGTGAATTTCAACCTTCAACCTTGTATAACATTGTTTATAAAGTTCTCAAAAATTAAATCAGAAGTCAACAAAACCTTTTCTTTGGTAAATATCTTCAACAAGACATAAACAAGCTGATAAAAATATGTGGACCATAATAAACAACGCGTTTCTTGTTTATTGTGTCGATTTTCTGAGGGCCATTTTTTTCGTAACACACTGTATATTTGCTCAAAAAACCCATCTCTGCCAAGTACGAGAAGGATACGGTGTGCCCGATCACCGATCAAAGTTCAGACTCGGCGGGCAAGCAATCTTTCCCATTTTGCCTGATTATATACGAAGAACATGACAATTATCGTATATAATATCATTACATATGACGTCATTATTTAAAACCCATGATATCCAACCCCGACATATCGATCCCATGGGTTGATATTAGAGGCGCAGATTATTCCTGTCAGTAGTGTCACAAACAATCTTCTATCACATGACGTTAACTTTATTATTATTACTTTTTGGATGCAAAACGCGTATCGGCAGACAATCGATAAAGTCAAGCAATATGAGAAAGAAATTGCTATCCTTGTGGCCAGTTATAGAACTGAAGTGCAAGCCAAAATCGCTACCGGTATCACTTATAAATGGGACTACTTTGTCAACACATGCGATCCTCATTA